TTTATATATATATATATATATATATATATGAGAGAACCTAATCGGATATTTCACTTTGCCAAATAAAGCTGCTACCATACGGTCTATCACTTGCAGATAATTTGACTGGTATATTTTCAAGCAAGGAGATACTTTGGGTGTCTTAGTTTTTCTCTTGAAGCAACTTGAGATGCCTCATAGGATCTTTGTTTTCAGAGGATGGGTTCTCAGCACTGTCTTAAAATTGGGCCCCTGTGGGTAGCTTCAGGTTGGGCAAGAATTTCTTCTGGTATATGTTTGGAGACTAAAGTACTTTTTCCTCCTGAACATTGTTTTGTTTGATAGCAGGAAAAAAAGCCAGTCAGGATATTTAAACAGTATTGTTAAAGAAAAGCTTATATTTATAGATAAGCTTTCCTATAAGCTTATGTATTTTTTTTTCCTCACTTATATATATTTCTTACCAAAAAAGACAACTTTGAGGGGATGAGTTAAAGTCTAAAAATGGCCATTCTTCTACCCTGATCAACATATAGCAAGAATGAATAAATCCATGTGATAGTCTGTATCCACTTTCTTACTAACTTTATTAACTGCTGCCATTTCTCTTCTTGGCATTTTTTGTTGTAATTGTTATTTTAAGGTAAACAGGATTTGTTAACGCCACCATTTTTTCTGCTAGGTCATTAAGAAGGCAAATGACACCCTAAACGGAATCAGTAGTTCATCTGTTTGCACTGAAGTAATCCAATCGGCGCAAGGCATGGAATATTTATTAGGTATGTTTCATTTTACTGTGTGCCTTGCATTAAACGTTCCCCTGTTTAAAATATTAGTATGTTATCACACTTTCCAACTAGTATTTTTGGCTCAAAGAATGCCCAGATGGGAATAATGGTGATTTCTTTAGTGAAATGAATGTAGCAGAATTATTTTGAAACAAATTAAAGTGGTCCTGGGCGTTCCGCAAAATGTGTGTAATGCCCATTAACTGTTCTTTCTGAGCCTGCATTTTGGAAACCTTTAGGGTACTGTGTTTGGGAGTCAACAACTTGTCTGTCATTCTCTGCTCTGTGTAATTCTTCCCAGGGGTTGTCGAGGTCTATAGAGTGACCAAACGAGTTGAACTGGGTATCAAGGCTACGGCCGTGTGCAGTGAGAAACTCCAACAGCTTCTGAAAGATATTGATAAACTGTGGAACAACCTAATAAGCTTCATGTCGCTTGCTGCTTTAACGGTAAGGCCTTGAGTAAGCTGCTTCCTTTCTAGAAGAAACCTCATATCACATGCATGTTTAACTAAGACACCTTGTTCAGTCATTGAACTTCCTCATTCCTCCATTTTATCTGTTTGTATATCCAACTTCCTAAACTACTTAAACTCTACATATAGGATAGGGTGGAATGGTCTTGTTTTTAGATTTAGGTGCTACATCCCGATTTGTCCATGGGTCACCCATAGTGAGCTTTAAATAACATGAGCATGGTGTTAAAAAGGAAAAATAAATAGCCGTTATAATATTCCAGCAGAGAATCCTAAAACTCTGCTGTGCAGTAGACTGGCTGGAACTGGACGCACTTCCGAGTAGGGACTGTCATCTTCTGTGCTTGTAAAATATTGAATTCATTGTGGGTTTTGCTGCAGAATAAATAACAGTTCCTCAGTTCTGAGTGCCTTCCCTCCTCTAGATGGAATTGCCAAGGCCAGAGACAACTCAACTCATTAGCCCTGGGATGGAAGGAGGAGTGCTTTTGTTCCCTCCTCAACAGCTGTTCCTGCGTAGCCAGCTGGGAGAGGGCATTTTAATGTGATATGAAGAGGGGTTCTGTTTAATTCCCAAATGCATGGTGGCTGAGAGGAAGGGAGCTTGCTGTGGAAGATGTCTTAGAGGGAGTGGGGTCAAAGGGGATCTTGCTGTTGACTGGGCATGAAAATAAGAAACGAAGGCAAGAAAAAAATTAACTTTCCGTTAAAACTTTCAGTTTTTAAGAACCTTTCTTTGGTTGCAATAAGTAATGTGGAATGCAGAACATAGAGAAGTACACATGTGTCTCGTGCATTTCCTTGGTAGATACCAACCACAGAAATAACGTGCTACCTGCTTGGGAGCGGTTAATCCATCAGTCCTTGCTGTGATCCAATGTAATGGTTCTTTTTGACTCCATTCAAAATCAAAGTGTCTTTTTAATATTTAGATTAAAACCAGTACAACATGTCAAGTATAAACAAATAAATCCTCGCTAGAATATTTCCTCTCATGATCGAGTACTTAATTCATGGAGTCTTGCATGCAGCATAACTCTGCATACCAAAAATCCTAGTGTCTCTCTTGTGGAGACGTAGCTGCAAGAGATTTTGCATGCTAGGTTTCTACTTGAAATAAACTTCTTTTCAAACAACTGTAACTCTCAGGAGAGGGGGGAAAAAAGACATCTAGAAGTGATCAGCAGCTCTTCTCCTTTCTCATCAGAATCGTATTGGTGGCAAACAAAGCCTAGTCATGTTCTGACACGCTACATGTAATACACCAGCTGATAACGTTAAAATAGTTTGGCTCTGTTTTGGAACTGGTCAGGTATCAAAGGAGTAGGATTCATCAATATCCAGAGGTTAAAACAATAAACACCATACAAGTACTCAAGGTAGACAGGTGTCATCAAAACACGTTTGAAACATAAGTCTATCAGGGATCATCGTTGCACTGATCTCTAGTTCTTTTCAGCAGAAGATGACCTTGATGCACTTTACAGACGTGCTCTGTATAATCATCCCATTTTACAGGTAGGGGATCTGAGGCACAGAGACAAGTGATTTGCCCAAGTTTACCCAGCAGGCCAATGACAAAGCTGGGAGAAGGACCTACTTGCCTTGTGAGCTTAGCATAGTGCTCCGTTCATTTGGTTTAATGGGCAGATATGATCCTCTTTTATTTAGTCTGCAGTTTAAGTACTATTCAGTTTGAGTGTGTCACAAGCGGTCCCTAAATTAGCCTGTTCAGTAGTTTATCAGCGTATTTTTTCTGGGTATATCTTGTTCTCCAGTTGACAGCCGAAAGGATTTGTATACCTGTGTCACTTCCTTGCTACCTGTAAAAAGGAACCATTACACCTAACCAGAGAACTTGGATTATCTTGTTGATGTAGTGGATTCCTGTCCAGCTCACTGTTGGCTGCGTTCATGTTGCTGGATTCCATTTTTCATGACTTGCCCTCACGTGGCAAAGTGCTGTCAGTAAAAAATACCTGGGGGGGAAATACTTGCCTCTATAGCAAAGGACGGGCATTTTTTTTTTTTACTTCCGGCATAGCACACTGTAGATGTACACCAGACATGTTCGACTGTTGAAGTCAAGACAAAAAAGAATGAATTACGTTAGGAGATTTAGGCAACTGTAAGTTTTTTCTGCTGGGGTTGACATGGTGTAAAGCCAGGGCATCAAACATACGGCCTGCAGACTGGATTGAGCCCACAGAGCCCTGCCATCTGACCCCCAGTGCTGTCTATGGGTCTAGTCAGACCCACATGGGGCATGGCACGAGCCCATGGCATGGTTCCTGAGCCAGATCCAGCGCACGGACCAGTCCATGGGGCCAGATGAGTTTGACACCCCTAGTCTAAAGTGATTTATAGACTTTGTTCCTCTCACATTCTGCTTTTCCTCCTCCCTCTCCCACCCCACTATTGAGTGGCAAATGTGACAGTTGAGAATATATTTTTTGGAAATACCTGACTTCTTTGTCCTGAAGACCTGAATTCCTAACCCTTGTATTGCTCCTCAGTTGCTTAATATTGCTGAAGCGTAGTCAAGTACAATTAATTAACTAAAGTATGGGTTTCTGCTATTTAGGGAGGATGAGTCCCAAACGAGATATTCAGGTTTTTGTCTTGCAGCACCAAATGCAGCATGTTTGCCCAAAATCTCCATTGGTATTTATTTTAACTTAAAATCAATAACAATTGACTGGTCTTGCTTTAGTTTAAAAGAGCTGATAATGGGTTTGTGTGCACGTAATGCATGGAAAACACCTACCCATAAAACTTACAATTGTGGCTTCTAAATGGTGCCGAAGTGCCAGTTAAGCCCGTAGAAATCCCCCAGCTCGCAGGCATGTGCTTGAAAAGGTTAATTTTATCATTTAAAGGATTAATTTTGTTACAAGGTAATTTTATGCATAGCCTTATGGTTTTCCATTGCAAATTGCTGTATGACCTTCTCATTTGCTTCACTCATGCATTTGGTAAACAAATATTAGAGGGCCTTTATTAATTTGATTGATCTACTTAAAGATTAAAGGTTTTTTCAGGATTCCAATTATTTCTCAAATTGTTCATCTCTGGGAGCGTGATTAGAATACCTAGGGCATGGATTATGAGTACGCATCTGTTTTATGATCTCACAATTTTTTAAAAGCCTCTTGTGTTTGTACTTCTAAGCATTGCTTTTGATTGTTTAAACGTTACAACTTACAGATAGCCTTCAAATAATGCTTTTAGTGTGTATATACCCCCCATGCATAATTTTACATTGACCATTTCTTTTGTTGCCTAGTAAAAACTAATCGGGAAAGCTATGACACATAGTTGGAGCTCTCTTTTTTTTTTTTACTAGTTTTGTGCAAAACTATTCTCTCAGCTCTTTCTTTACCATATACATATACAATGAAATGGTTAGTCCTCCTGAGCATTGCAGGGTTTGACCAGACTATGAATACTTCATGTTGTACTTATGCTCTGGTTCCAAGAAAAATCCTTGATTATTCATCATTAATAATTGACTAGGTGTTACTGTAGAAATTTGAATGGTAAGCACTAACACAGTTAATACCACCCTAAATAGAACTGGAAGTTACGCTGCCCATTATCCTATTGCCACCTCCTTAATTGTAGGGATAATTTGTCATCTTACCTGTATTTACTGGAATCTTTTAATATGAAGTATTTGAAATATAGCAACAGGCACCTGTCCTCTCACTTCACATCTATTCCCTTTTGAAGTGGCAGTGTGGAACTCCGGTATTCTCTCCTCTGTTTAGGTTTTTTTCAAGTGTTTGAATGTTATAAACTAATACCAATGGAGATTACATAGCAGGCTTGAAACTACGCTAATAGCTGTGATAAAACTGCATCAGTTTATGGGTCTTGTGTAGTACATTATCCCTCATGACTGTTTAGTTTCATGCCCCCTCCAGAGCAGGCACATTGGTAATTTTAAGTCCTTATGCTGTGTGAATTTTTTTTTTTCAGTTCTTGAAATTGCCTAAATTCAACTATCTTGTTATTTCTGTAGCCGGATGAAAACTCATTGGATTTCTCTTCTTGTATGCTGCGTCCAGGCATTAAAAACGCCCAAGACCTTGCTTGTGGGGTGTGCCTCTTGAATGTAGATTCTAGAAGTAAAGTAAGTAACGGTGCCTTTGTTAAGCTCATTTTGCATTTCCTACTTGAACTCACCACTTAGGCCTTGCCTGTGTTAAATGTCATGGCTGCAAGTCACCACCTACAATAGCAAAGGATGGGGCTCAAGCATTTTTACAACCACATTGTATGGAAATTCATGTTAACCCTTTATTGTCAGTTCTCAGCAAGCGTGGGACTAGTGGCAGGTAAGTCTGAAGAGCTGAGGGGAGAAGTTGCACGCGAGGAGCACTGTGAGAAACGCTCCAATGCCAAGATGCAAGGGAACTTGTAACGATTGTCCCTTATGAAATGTGCCAGTGAGGAACACCAGGAGGGAAGCAAGGAGGGTACTTGGGAGGGGAGCCTGAAAACCAAAGTAATTGCCGACCAGTTCGTATACGTGGGGACTTCTGTTGACCTTTTGGTTTCGACATTATTTCAGAAAGAAGAGAAGCCTGTGGAGGAGCATCCTAGAAAAGTACGAAGCAGTAAAATGATTCTCTTTATAGATTCATCCTCTAAATTCTGAGTATGGAAGGCAAGACTGGTGACTAGCCTCCAGCTGTCATTCTCAATTGTGCCAATCATGAATCTTTCTCTTAGTTGTATCTGTGACCATAACATTTGATTTGATCAACTAACACATACTAGAGCCCTCCTGTGTGTCTCATCTGCATGCCTGTACCTTGCGAATAGCTTCCTGTTTTGTGCGACTTGTGTTGCGTAGTAGACAGTTCAGCGTGGGGAATTCCTGAAGTCTTGTTAGCTGCCTGCATCTTTGTTGTGGAAGGGGGAAGTGCAGCTTGTGTGTGCAGCACTCTTTGACCTGTTTGTCTTTCAAAGTCATGCTCGACCTGTTGCTTTGGGGTTACAGAAAGGCGACCATATGCTTTAGATAACCATAGTGGGAGTATTTGCTAATGACTTCTCTTTTTTAAAGAATATGTTTTCATTGGATAACTGTGAAGTTTTAGAGCCATGCAGCTATGGAGAATAAGCAGTGAAAAGCTTCTAGCTGTTTTGTTACTGAACAAGAAAACTCTTTCATCTTATCCCATGGGGACTTAATCAAAAAATACTCTGTAACTTCTTGTTTACCCAGACATCTGAGCACTGCCTCCTACTAGCAATGACAACCTGAAACCCCTTCAGGGACTTTTCAGCTTGTTTTAATAGTTTCACACTCTTTATTCATAAAGCTCCTCTTAAAGTAGCTGCTTCTTACAGAAGGTGGTGCTAAATTCAACCCTGGAATAGCCAGACATAAGTCTGATGTCGGAAGTTGCACCTTCTTGAATCGCAGCAGAATTTGCCCTGGTAAATGAAATAAACTTGAAGTGCGGTAGTTATGGGATGGCCCAGCAAGTTGGTCTCTAAAATAGGAGGGGAGGCATGCAATGAGTTGAATCAGTTCCCAGGCTTGAGGTCAAACATAATACCAAACAGTTCATTTTGGTCTGTGTGTAGCTACTGGAGCCCGCAGCTTAAGCAGTTTCAGTTGAAGACATTGTCTGCCCGGATTTCTGCAGGACTGAAATGGCATCTTGTTGCTGGCCGCTTTACTTGTGCAGCTGAAGATGAAATCTGGGGCAGGCTGCAGGTCTGACAACTCTGTGCTTTCTTAGGGTGAACACATGCACAGGGATCCGGTCATCTCTTAGTTCTCGCATTGCTGCATAGATGGGACTGTCACACTTTCTTTCCATTTGTATTCTAGGCCTTTAATTCGGAAACGGATAACTTTAAACTGGCTTATGGTGGGCACCAGTACCATGCGAGCTGTGCAAACTTCTGGATCAATTGTGTGGAGCCGAAACCTCCAGGCCTTATTTTGCCAGACCTGCTTTGAAAGGACTTGTGCTGAAGACAAACTGTCAGACTGGAGTGACACATGACCCTTGGATTATTGATGTGAGGGGACAAGCATGAAGGCTTTTGGAAGCAGTGGGTGGCATTTTTTGAAATGTTCATTTTTGCAATCTTCTTGCACTCCAGTAGGTCAAAGCCACTCTAACACATTCCCATGTGAATTTCCCTAGCAAGTTTGAGCCGTGATTTGAGGTTTCCAGGAATAACCAGAGAAATGTGTGCACTGTGGCACAAAACATGTCATTTCAGTCTCCCAAGCTGAGGTTGGTTGGCACTGATAGCAGACCGCTTTGCTGATCATGATAAATCAACCTGTGAGGTAAAACAGTTCTTGCCACTTCAGAGAGAGAGCAGAAATACTAGGCTGTGTGCATTTACGCAGAAGAACCACCCCTGAGGCACATATTTGAAATGTGTATTTGCAAGTTAACCTTTCCTTTGCTAATATTTTTAACATGTGGACCAAGATGTTCTTTCTCTAACTTATTTGCTGCTACATATTACAATGCACAAGTGTCAGTAATATTCAAGGAGATGGAAGTTACTGACTTGGAAGGAATCAGATTGTTAGACTGCAATGAGCCATTGTTAATTTATAGAATTATGGATTCTGTATAATAATACATGTTAGTCATATACTTAGCTGGCTAATATTTAGGAAAAACTGGAAATACAATTATTGTATGTTTGAATTCTTTTACCCTGTCTTTAGGCTTTATTACAGGCAGTTGGATTTTAAACCTTGTGGTCTTTCCTACTCTATTGTAAATACTAGACATCCCCCTAAGACTTTTCCTAGAACTGCAGGTGGAAGGGGATATATTTTCAAAAAGATGCATTATGAATTTAGCTCATCTCCCTTATTATATAACTGCACAGCAACATCACTGCACATAATGGTGAAATTCCTGCCCAACGGCTATCAAATGTCTGTTGCTATGTCTTTTACTCTTTGCTGTAAATGAACGTGTGTTTCTTGATGGGACTCCTCTTGGCTTATGTAATCAAATATTGTCTGTTAAGGCTGTTTGCCAAACTCACTAAACTGACAGGACCTGTTTCCCCCGAGTTCAGCGTTCAGATAGGCGCTGGCTTTTTCATCCTGGGAGTCGGGCGTTCCAGCACTGTGCTAGTACCAAGGACAGTGGCGCTCAAGGCAAGTGTTCCTAACTGGACAGTAAGAGGTTAGTGTCTCCAGCTGTCACAAAAAGCTACTCTCAAACCTAGAAGTTTGCAATTCCCCCCCACCCTTCAGATTCAACTTTATGACAACAGTGTAAAATATGAATATAAAACAGGTTTGCTATGAAGAAACCTTTCCAGTTCAGACTGCAGCAAATGGTGCTTGAACTTAGCTCCTCCGAATTGCTTGTTGCTTTACTAAGCTAGAGAATTTTCAGTCCAATGGAAATGTGTTTTATTTTTAAGGACGCTGCCACAGCAAGACTTTATTAGTTTCGATTCATAGAGGGCCAGCTGAGAGCTGCTGTTGCATAGTACAACTGATTCCATCGTTCAGTGACTGATTGTAGTTTCTCATACAGACCTGGAGAGAAGCTCCCTTCTTTCCAAGATATCACTGGCTTCTCAGAGCAAGCCTTGTCTCTGCTGTGAACTGCGGTGAATTGCTGGAAACAAAATTACAGGGGTGGGGAAAAACGATGCTTCGCATAAAAGACTTAGTTATGTTCACAAATTAATTACCCCAGCTGAAAGGAAGGCTTGGCTACTAAGAATAAAAGGTGGCTGACCCTTATTTACATCAATTACAATAAATTGTCCTATTGTCAGAAACAGGCGTATTTGTATAATAAATAATGTGTGTCTCCTGGTCTCGGACTCGAGCTAATCAAATAGCAGCTGTTCAATAACTGAGCACCTGCCTTCTGCTGTAGGGTGTTTACTGAAACAAGGTGATTCCTGTTCATCTGTCCTGTTTTGTTTAAGTCAGAGGGTCTGCATGCAGTAGTGTTTAGTATAGCTCCTTGTGATAAGATAATGGGGTTTTTCATGACGATCAAGGACTGCCATATATTTTGTATCATTGTCTTGTATTTACTGTTGGAAAGAACTCCACTGTCTACTATCCAGCCTAGTAAATTAGCAGGATTAGGCCCTGATCCCCCAAATTAGGGTGGTGTGTAAGCACCTGAGCAGTCCTGCTGTAGGCAATGGAACAGCTTAAGTGGTTAAATACCGTGGTCACTCCAGGCCCTTGCTTGTATTGTGACAAAAGGAGCTCTTTTACTGACTTGGGTTCTCTCACTGATCTTCAATGTATATATATATTTTTAAACTAGAGAAAATCTCTTACGTTAGTTTATTTAGAGGGGAATGCCATGGGCTCAACTGGCTACAACACAAACTCTACAACAAACCTGTATTTTGAATACTGTATGTTACTGGCTGTTATACTAGTGTCAAGTCTTTTCCAATGACCTCTTTTTTTTTTTTTTTTTTTTTTTCCCCCTTTTTTGG